CATGGCTTGGGTCAGGCACACCTTAGTCCTCAAACTGACATCTTTGTTCTTCAACACTTTAAAAATGTCTTGTGCAGCAGATATGTTTAAAGTACTATGTTGTTTGATTTCTTGACTGCTGCTTCCACGAGTGTTGATCTGAGCAAAATGAAGTCTTTGACAACTTCAATCTTTTCTCCATTGATAAGAATGTTGTTTATTGGTTCAGTGATGAGAATTTTTGTTTTCTTTACATTGAGATGCAATCCATACTGAAGGCTATGGTCTTATCTTCAACAGTAAGTATTTTAAGTGCTCTTCACTTTCAGCAAATAAAGTTGTATCATCTGCATATCGCAGGTTGTTAATGAATCTTCCTCCAATCCTGATGCCACGTTTTTCTTCATATACCCAGTTTATCAGATTATTTGCTCAGCATACAGGTTGAATAAGTATGGTGAAAGAATACAACCTGGTGCACACTTTCCTAATTTTAAACCATTTGGTGTTCCCTTGTTTAATTCAAACAACTGCCTCTTCTTGGTCCATGTACAGATTCCCCATGAGACAATTAAGTGTTCAGGAATACTCATACTTCACAATATTGTCAATGACTTGTTATGACCCACACAAGCAAAAGCCTTTGTATAGTCAATAAAGCACAGGTAAACATCTTTCTGCTATTCTCTGCTTTCAGCCAAGATCTAGCTCAAGTCAGTAATGATTTCCCTTGTTCCATGTCGTCCTCTTCTGAATCCGAACCTCTGGAAATTCTCTTTTAATGTATGGTTGCAGCTGTCTCTGTATTACCTTTAGTAAAACTTTACTTGCCTGGGTTATGAATGATAATTGTCTGATGATTTCCACATTCCATTGGGTCACCTCTCTTTGGAATAGACACAAATATGGATCTGTTCCAATCAGTTGTCTAGGTAGTTGTCTTCCAAATTTCTTGGCAGAGATGAGTGAGTGCCTCTAGTGCCACCTCACTTTGTTGAAAGATTTCAATTTGTATTCCAACAATTTCCAGTGCCTTGTTTTTTGCCAGTGCTTTCAATGCACCTGGGACTTCTTCCTTCAGTATCATTGGCTCTTCATCGTATGCTACCTCTTGAAATGGTAAAAATACATAACTCTGTCAAATTTTGAAGAGTACCTCATTGCCTCCTATGCTTACAGTAAAGCCATTTCCCTGTGCTAAGTAAGCAAAGCAGTCAAATAAAGCTTTTAACCACGACTTGGAATATATTCTTCCCTGAATAAATTTTTAGGAACAGGGTGCTACTTATTTCAAAAGTTAAATATCAGGAAGTTCTATGTTCTGGGGGCAGAAAAGATGTCCCATTCAAGTAAGGTGCAAGTTAGAGAATTGCTGTTCCTGCCATCACAATGCTTTGCCTATAAAAATGTTTAGTAAACATTTGTTGAAGCAAAAAAGAGGAAGTGTGGTAACTTTTTTGCCTATACTCAGTTGTTGTTGCTGTTGCTAAGTACTATCGAGTTGGTTCTGACTCATAGCAACCCTGTATAGGGGGTTTCCAGGTGTGGTACTGTAGGATAAGCAGTGGACTGCTATCCACAAAGTCAGTGGTTCAAAATCAACAACTGCTTCTTGGAAATGTTATATAGGGGTCGTTATGAGTTGGAACTGACTTGACAGTACTTAACAACAACAACAACATAGGATTTCCAAGGAGCAGCTGGTGGATTTGAACCAGTGATCTTGAGGTTAGTAGTCCAGTGCCTCTTCTATAGCACTACACCAGGACTCCTTATACTCAGTAATGACTAGTAAAAGGGATTTATCCTTATGTAATCACCCAGTAAAATGTGATAAAAGATGAGCACTTGGGAGTGAAATGCCATTGTATTCTGAAGCCTTGAGTTTTGACTGCTTAGGTACCAAAAGTAGTGTTTGAGAGCACAAATAAGTGTGTGACTGGGAGGAGAAAAAAGCAACCAAAGACAGCTGTCTTGGCATGGCCAGAACACCACTCTGCAAGTTATGTAACAGCTGTTGTGTAATTGTGCATTTAACCCAGCTTATGCTGAGTAAAATAAGCCAATCATGAAAGGATATTGTATGAGCACATTTATACAAAAAGATAAGCAAAGGCAACTGCATAGAGACCAAATTTTCTTGGTAGTTACCAGGGACAGAAAGGAGGGGGAAAAGTAAGATGGAGGTGATGGTTAAATCATATTGACTAAAGGTAGGGTTACACAGTCTAGTCTTGTAATTGTTGTCAAAAATGTTTACACTTGTAAAAAAAAAAACTGATGGATTGGTACAGTGACAGTAGCCATGTATTCAAGCATAACAACAATTGTGAGAATGGCACTGGACCAGACAGTGTGTCATTCTGTTGTACATAGTGTCATACACGTTGGAGTCAACTAGATGGCACCTAACAACCACAACAACAAAAACTGAATTGGCAAAATTGTGTGGTAGATAGATTAATAACATCAACAAAAAAAAAGCGTAGCTGCTGAGTTTGGTCACCTATAACCAAAGAACCCTTAGGTTCCTTGTTTTGGAGGGTCTTCATGGAACAGTCCAATTAATGGACAAAATAATGTGTTTAATGCTTCTGTTCTACCTCTTACTTCATTGCATAGTGCCTGGGGTCTTAAAAGCTTGCAGTGGTCATCCAAGACACAGCAATTGACTCTATTTGCCTAGGTCCAGTCAACACAGGAAGAAGCAGAGTCAGGAATAGGAGGAGCAAATAGAAGGGATGGCTAATTGCTTCCATGAACAAATGTCCCCTTTTGCCATGAGACCAAGAACTGGATTGTGCTCAGCTATCCATTGCTGAGCAATTTGATCGAAAAACCTTGATTAAAAAAAATCTTGGCTAATAAAGAGCAGAATTTCAAATTCCTATGAAGCCTAGAATTTCTAGACCCATAGAGGGTAACAGACCTCTGAAACAATTGCCCTGAGATAATCTTTCAACCTAAACCCAAAAATACCTCCTGAAGTCAAAACGAACTTGACAGAATGAAAGTCAGCCAGCAAGTAAACAAAAGTGAAAACAATACAGAAGTTTCTAGCTGGTCTTCATGCAGGAAACAAAAAAGAAGCAAGATCCTTGGGAATGGTATTGCTTTAGAATCTAAGCATTTGGGAAAATATAGGCCACAGGACAAATCTGGCTTGATTTACTTACTTGCTTTTGCAAGTAAATTTTAATCAGAACGTACACCCATTCAGTTAGCAAGTGTCTATAATAGCATTCCCATGGCAACTGCGGAGTCCACAGAGACCTTTTGGCCAAGGAATCCCAAAATGTTCATTCTTTAGCCCTTTGTAGGAAAAGTTCACCTATCTCTGCCTTCCATTAATGAAAGATTAAACTTGAGTATTTTCAAGGGTAGCGCTCTGGTAGCGTAGTGGTTACGAATCGGGCTGCTAACCTCAAGGTCAGCAGTTTGAAACTACTAGTGGTTCCGCAGGAAAAGATGAGGCTTTCTGTTCCCGTAAAGATTTACAGCCTCAGAAACTCTGTGCAGGGTTTATGAGTTAGAACCGACTCCAACAACAACAATATTCATTCAAAGAACCAAAGCAGTCAACTGCTGAACCCTATCTGGAAAGTCTCATAAGGAGAGGAAGGAAAGGCAAATAAATAGCTCTAAGACCAGAGTTTTGGAGTCACACTGGCCTGAGGTCAAACTCTGACTTTGCATTTTTTAGTTCTGTGATTAGGAGCAACTTCCTTACTCTCCCCACATCTGTAAATTGGGGATTCCAAATAAGGATTGTCAGAAAAATCAGGTTCCTGTACCTGATTTGGAATAACTATTCAATAACTCTTAGGTCCCTTTCTAAATCCAGTACTCAGAGGAGCTGGCAATTTTCACTTAAAAAAAGAAAAATGCTATTCTTAACAGAGTTAAGAACATCTAAACATTTTTACCTTGTTCCCATTGTAACTTTCCCCAACGCTTTCATATAATAAAATACTGCCCTTACAATGGGAAGAATACAGTTAACAAGTATCTTTTTTTTTAATGTTCCCAGCTTGAAACATTCACTTTAAGAATGTGAATCATTTGGGAATTCTGTTTAAATGGTTCCTTGTACAATTGCTTATGTCAATAGTGGTAAATACTGGCAAATTCCGTAGCCAGAAGTTGAGTTTTAACAGATGATATTGTTGTTGTTGCTAAGTGCCGTCTAGCCGTCGAGTTGGTTTCGATTCACAGGGATCCTATATAGCGTTTACAAGGAGCAGCTGGTAGGTTTGAACTGCCAATACTGTGGTTAGCAGTCCAGTGCTTACCGTATAGCAGCATACCAGAACTACAAATGACATTACCATATTGCTAATTGTGCTGGTGGCGTAGGACAGAGTACTTTTGAGTCACCTAAAAATCGCACTGACTTTTATAAAATAAGATATAAAATGAAAATAATTTAGAGTTTATGAAATCACAGTAGGCCTACTTATCTAGCACTGAAAAAAACTGCAAGATTGATCTGATTTATTTTTTTAAAAGTTGAGTTGAGGCAGGGTCTAGAAAGAGGACCTTTCTTTGCCAAACAACACCCTGGCCAAGGTCCCGTCTTCTTCATTAGCTATTGAGAACAAGTGCCCTTTTAGAATCTTTTTTAATCCTTATAGTCTCTGATTCCAAGTCAGAGAATGGAAAGTTACATAGTAGCATGAAAAGACCAAAAAAAAAACCACACCAAAAAACAATGATAATAACTGGCCTTTGAGACCAGAGCAGCTGTGCTGCATACCCGTATCACAGATTTCGGCTTTGTAAATTAATTCATCTGCAAATAGTACATTGTCTCCAGATGCTGCATCCATGCTAGAATGCTGGTTTCATAAGGATTTAAGTTTTAAGTTAAAGGCTTCCTGCTGTAGGTGTTACAAGTAAGTAGTGTTGTTTTCTTTTAGCTCCAAGTTTGTTCATCCAATCATATCCCAGTATGCAAATCAACCTTAGCCCTTTCCGATAAAAAGGAACAACTAAATCTAAGAGCTCTACCAGAAGCTGAGCCTGTCACCTGTATTTCAGGAGCCTTAGCAGAAATGTCGTCTTCAGGCATGCCAGAGTTACCTGTCCCACTCGCTAATTTGAAGATTCAACACACTAAGGTCAGTACAGTTTCTATTTGCTGCTCTACGACGGGTTTATGAAAACTACATTTACTTTAAAACATAAAAAGGTCAACTTAAGTAAACTTGTGTAAAAAACCCTTGGAAATATAAAACAACAAAAGCTTGTCAAATGCAGATCTGGGTTTTGTGTCCTGCTCAAATGGTGAATTGTAATCAGACCAGACAACTTTGCATGAATTATTTTCTTAAAATGTTTCAAGTGAAGGGAATTTATCTTCTGCATGAAACGTTCTTGTGGCAGGACTCTGGATTTTATTGAGCAGTTCTATTAATTTCAGCATAGCCTGGGGAAATGTATGATTAGAGAGGCAAATATTTGCCCAGAGAAACTTATTTGAAAGAGCCACACTAGTGGGAAATAATAAAAAAAAGAGAGAGAGAGAGAGAGAGAGAGAGAGAGAGAACCACAGAGCATGTTGAAATAGCAGGATGTTTTTACATGCAAATCAAATGACCTAAGTCTGATAATTGGAGGAAAGCTCCCCATTTCCAAAACCCGCAAATGGACTGGATCATTTAGCACATTTTGGGAAAGACAGCATTCATATTTATTTCTTTAAACAAGTTTGTTACCATTGGGTGCGAATGCATAATCGTTGACTGGTAAATATTTATAGGAACCAGAATCCACACTTAAAAAACTAGGAAATGGATCCTTTTAAGGTCATTCTGAGATTATCTCTGAATTTTGTCTCTTTCTCATTGTCTGCTTTCCTGGCAGAATCTAGAACTTAAAAAAAAAAAAAAAAAAAAAAAATGTTCCTGCTCCAAATCACTTTAAAGTTAGCTTTATGGTGTGATGCAGAAGACAGGGTAAGAAATGAACTCAAGAGAGAGCTACTTTCTTTTCTGAATTAATCATTGAAAAACCAAGAGCATTTGAATTTAATGATAAAGAAAAGTCTCCACTACTGTTGATTCATTTCCTGATTTAAAATTGTGGGTGATGTTGAAATCTTAAGATCTGTTATATTTTCATTTTCACAAGCACAATGAATGTTGAAGTTGTTCAACTGACTGGATCTTTTCCTTAAGAAAGTGTAAGCAAAGATCAGATTGTCTTTAACATAAATATCCCAAGCTATAAAGCTTATCAAGATATTGTTTTCACATGATTTATTAGAAGAATGTTTACACCACTTCATTTTATTACAAATAGGAACAGGAAAACTGAGGTGAATCCAAACTCTCAAAGGTTTGTCAAAAGATGACAAGACTCCAGTCTCCCCCACTTTCTTACCTAAGGTTGTTATTCACAAGATATTAACAATTTTCAAAACACCAGAGTTTTATGTTTTTTGCGTGTGTGTGGTTTTTGTTTGTTTGTTTGTTTTTTATTGGTAGTCTGAATGTCACTTTGGGGCAAAAACAAGTTTGCAGAAGTGTGTAAAGTTTTGTTTGCATTTGTGTTTCAAGGAAGCTTTATTGTGAGCTACTACTATTGTCAAATTGTTATTGTTGTTAAGTGCCTCCGAGTCAATTAGGGTTTCCAAAGAGCAGCTGGTAAGCTTGAACCACCAACCTTGCAGTTCAAATGATTTTGCAGTCTGATGCATTAGCCCACAGCGCCACATCAGGACTGTTAAACTAGTCACATTTAATTGTTATTAGGAGTCCTGGTGTGGTGCTGTAAGATAAGCACTGGACTACTAATCATTAGGTAAGCAGTTCAAACCCACCATCCGCTCCTTGGAAATGCTATATACTATGAGATAGAACTAACTCCATAGCACTTAACCATAGTTATTAAGTAAATAAGGAACAGTGCTAGACAAATAAGATGATCCTTAAAAATCTTACAAGTCCATATGTGGTGGTCCCTTATCACAGAAAGATGTTTTTAAGTTTGAAATCTCCTGTCCACTTAAACATCATTGCAAAAGTATGGCCCTCTAGGAAAACAAGTGACCTAAGTCTTCAAGAGAAAGTGAGATTCAAAGAGCAGGCATTTGCACTTGCTTTTAGGAATGATTCTTAAAATATCCCATTTTAATATATCTTAAATGTATTTAATGTATCTTAAAAATATCCAATGCCAGTTGGTGAATTTTTGTTGCTCACATATCTAAATAAATCTGGTTTTTGTTCAGATAGCATTTTATTGTTTGATTTATTGGCTTCAGCATTTTCACACTTGGGAGGATACCAGTTATGTATGTAATTAAATCTAAATGGCTGGGTTTTTTCAGATGCCAGGCACTTTGTATTTTCTTTTTACCGTGTCCCGCCAAAGAACTGTTGTGGACTTGCACTTGTAAGAGGAGTTTGGAAAAGTGATGATTGCTAACTGAGTTTCCTGGTTGCAGACCAAGTAAGCAAGTCTTTTAGAGAATATGAGGAGTTAACCATTTGTGGTCAGCTCCTAAATGAAACTATTCTCTTATTATTTTAATGTCCTTCTTTGTTTATCACTAGAATAAAGTTGGTGGGGCAAATTGGAAAGAAAAGGTAAGCAGGATTGAGTAACAAGATTATTACAACTATGGTCTAAATGCAACATACTCTCAAGCTTAAAATTGCTTTTCCCTAAAACAAAAGAAGTCATTGATGCATTCCGTTTATGACTTATTCTCTTGTACGGTGTGATTATTTTGTTATTAGAGTGGATAAAACAGAGATCTGAGTTGAAAAAGTAGTTTCTAAAATGATACTAGAGTTTTTGAAATTTAAACCCTCAATAGCATCATTATAATACACATAACCTCAGATCTTATCCCTCCTCTTGTTGTTTCCCCACCTTCCAATGTCATATGAACTCACATCTGCCAACCCAACTGTTTTATTGACCCTTTAAGTGAAGAACTCATGAGAAAATTGAGACATCTTTGGGAAAATTACCCTACCGCTCTCTGACTTCATTTACTTAGGTGGAAAATGAGGATGGTAAAGATAGTGATTTCTTTAGGTGGATAAAAGCATTTAATGAGTTTAATGCATGCAAAGCGATTGGAATGGTGCCTGGCATGTGAGAAGTGATTGATTAATGTTAGTTATCCTTGTCCTGTTTATTTTTCAGAATCCTTTCCAGTTTTTCCAGAATTTTCTTTTGCCCAACCTTTCCCAGGCTGCTTTCCCACAAATGTTCCTCTCACCTCATTCTCTTCTACTTTTTCTGTCACTCTTTCTTGCACAGTCATGCCTTACATGACAAGGATTTCAGTGGAGCGAAGATCCTATGGTTTAAGCAGGATTTTAGGGATGAAGAATTTTCGTGTGCAGGATTTGGTAACTGTTTATTTTCCATCTTTGCAACATTGTCTTTTGCCTGAAAAGTAAAGGAAAAAAAAGAGAAAAGAAAAGATCCAAGAAGAAAGCTTTTCCAGAAATTATTTCAGCCCTAAAAATGTTAACTCCACTTAACTCTGAAACTTGATTCATTCAACAACAATTTGCTCCTGCTGAAATACGGTCATTCAGTTATCTCTTAGTTCCATTTTTTCCTAGAATCTTTTGAAGCCCCTTCATAGGTCTTCATCAGCTAATAACCTTTCTCATACATGCAGTAATTAGTTAAAATTAACCCATGTTTACTCTGTGCCAGGGACTGTATTAAGTTTTTAACTGTGATTTTATTTAATCCTCACAATAATCCTGTGAGGAGGTTACTCCCATTTCATAGATTAGAAAACTAAGACACAGAATCACTGTGCCACAGGGCTCTTTTGAATAGCTAAATAATTTGTCTAAATTACTGAGGCAGCTAGTAGAGGCCGAGCTAGAATTTGAATTCCAGCAACAATCGAAGTCCTCATAGCAGAAAGTGACTTGTTTAAGGTCAATACAGCTACTTGGGACAGCATATTGCCAGAATCCTCTTTGTCCTTTATTCTGTCTGATTTTCTTTTGTCCATTCCTGATTACTGGAGAGGGCTTGACCATGAGCTTTTCCAGCTGCTGCTCAGCTGTTCTCAGGCCAGCAGCAGGAAGTTTTTGCTGCCAGTTCAGAAAAAAAGAGGTGAACAATAGGGAATGTTGGAAGCAAACATGGTTTTAACTTTGATCAGAGGTGGAGTTGGAGCTGGGAGAGTCCTGGATGCAGAGGACTTTGAAATAGGTATACTATTTCTATGCAAATTAAATTTTTTTTTTTTTTAAACTTCTGTAGAGTACATTCTGGCTGGAAGAAGGGTGTGTTTTCCAGAATTATTATTTAATGTTTCTGGGTTAAAGGAATACTTTTGACAAAGCAGAGTTATGAATCATTAAGCACTTTGTGCTAGACACGATTCTAAATGTTTTTCTTTTTTTCACTGTCATCTCTTCTTTTGAAGGACCCCTGGTAGCATAGTGGATTATGAGTTGGACTGCTAATCGCAAAGTCAGCAGTTCTAATCTACCAGCCGCACCATGGGAGAAAGTTGTGACTCTCTGCTCTCATAAAGATTTATAGCCTCAGAAACCCTATACAGGGTCGTTATGAGTTGGAACCAATCCAATGGTGCACATCCACCACCACCACCACCATCATCACTATAATCTCTTGTGAAGGAGCTCGGATGGCGTAGTGTGTTACAAGTTGGGTTGCTTAACACAAGGTCACCAGTTCGAATCTACCAGCCATTCTGAGGTTTTCTTCCCTCATAAATATTTACAACCTTGGAAACCCTATACAGGGGTGCTATGAGTCTGGACTGATTCCACAGCACAGAACCACCACAATCTCGTGTTCAATTCTTACAACAAATTCAGACCACATGTACTTCCCAAAATTTATGTTCTTCACTCATTTCAGTCTATACCCTCCACCTCATCCTTTCTCCTTTTCCCCCCTCACTTTATTTAATAAGTAATTGAGTGGCTGTTCTGTGCTAATTCCCATATAAGCAGGCAAATATGTTTCTTGCTTCATGAGGCATATATTCTAAAAGTGTGTAGCGGGAGGAACGGAGCCCAGAACAAGGAAGAAGTGAATCCTTTAATTGCATATTATGGTCATTCTAAATACCAAAAGCTTAAACGTATGAAGGGAAGAGCTT